ACTCTCCTGCTGGTAATAGCTTATCTAAAGTGATCATTCTCCTTACAATGTGTATGATAATCAAGTTGGGCCCCTCCAAGTGAAGAAACAGATTGATAGAGCCAGAAGAGTTCCCAGAAGTCACCTACTACAGGGCAGGCCTAACAAAGAAAATAACAGAACGCCACTAGCCGTCACCTTCAGCCCCCAACTAAAACCCATCCAACACATTATTAAGGATCTACAACCTATCCTGAAGGATGACCCAACACTCTCACAAATCTTGGGAGACAGGCCAGTCCTTGCCTACAGACAGCCCCGCAACCTGAAGCAAATACTCACCAACAACCACATACCACACATCAGAACCACTAACCCAGGAACCTATCCTTGCAACAATGCCCGTTGCCAGCTGTGCCCACATATCTATTCAGGGGACACCATCACAGGGCCTAATAACATCAGCCACACTATCAGAGGCTCGTTCACCTGCACATCTACCAATGTGATATATGCCATCACGTGCCAGCAGTGCCCCTCTGCCATGTACATTGGTAAACTGGACAGTCTCTACGTAAAAGAATAAATGGACACAAATCAGACGTCAAGAATTATAACATTCATAAACCAGTCGGAGAACACTTCAATCTCTCTGGTCATGCGATTACAGACATGAAAGTTGCGATATTAGAACAGAAAAACTTCAAAACCAGACTCCAGCGAGAGACTGTTGAATTGGAATTCATTTGCAAATTGGATACAATTAACTTAGCCACTCCCAGTCTCTATTCAAGCCTAAGTCATTATGCAAGATAACCTATTTTGCCTTGTTTTTTTCTCCCCCCCGTTCCTCAGATGTTCTCGTTAAACCCTGGATTTGTGCTGGAAATGGCCCACCTTGATTATCATACACATTGTAAGGAAAGTGATCACTTTAGATAAGCTATTACCAGCAGGAGAGTGGGGTGAGGGGAGAGAAAACCTTTTCTAGTGGTAAACATCCATTTTTTCATGGTTTGTATGTATAAGAACATCTTCTGTATTTTCCACAGTATGCATCCGATGAAGTGAGCTGTAGCTCAAATAAATTGGTTAGTCTCTAAGGTGCCACAAGTACTCCTTTTCTTTTTCCTATAAAAATAGACTCTAGCAAGTGAGAACTTTGGGGTCTGATTCTACAAACCAACTTCCAGGAGCATCAAATGAGCATCTGACAAGGCCCTGCTCCCTTCTCATGTCCAGGCCACTTGGCCAATAGCTTGGCATGAGCAACTCTAAGGCTTGTAACTATGGGTATGTCTACACTACGAAATTAGGTCGAATTTATAGAAGTCGGTTTTTTAGAAATCGGTTTTATATATTCGAGTGTGTGTGTCCCCACAGAAAATGCTCTAAGTGCATTAAGTGCATTAACTCGGCGGAGCGCTTCCACAGTACCGAGGCTAGAGTCGACTTCCGGAGCGTTGCACTGTGGGTAGCTATCCCACAGTTCCCGCAGTCTCCGCTGCCCATTGGAATTCTGGGTTGAGATCCCAATGCCTGATGGGGCTAAAACATTGTCGCGGGTGGTTCTGGGTACATATCGTCAGCCCCCCGCTCCCTCCCTACCCCGTGAAAGCAAGGGCAGACAATCATTTCGCGCCTTTTTTCCTGAGTTACCTGTGCAGACGCCATACCACGGCAAGCATGGAGCCTGCTCAGGTAACCGTCACCCTATGTCTCCTGGGTGCTGGCAGACGCGGTACGGCATTGCTACACAGTAGCAGCAACCCCTTGCCTTGTGGCAGCAGACGGTACAGTACGACTGGTAGCCGTCATCGTCATGTCTGAGGTGCTCCTGGTTGCCTCTGTGAGGTCGATCAGGAGCGCCTGGGCAGACATGGGCACAGGCACTAAATTTGGAGTGACTTGAGCAGGTCATTCTCTTTAGTCCTGCAGTCAGTCCTATTGAACCGTCTTATGGTGAGCGGGCAGGCGATATGGACTGCTAGCAGTCGTACTGTACCATCTTCTGCCGAGCAGCCATGAGATGTGGATGGCATGCAGTCCTTCTGCACCGTCTGCTGCCAGCCAAAGATGTAAAAGATAGATGGAGTGGATCAAAACAAGAAATAGACCAGATTTGTTTTGTACTCATTTGCTTCCCCCCCTCCCCTGTCTAGGGGACTCATTCTTCTAGATCACACTGCAGTCACTCACAGAGAAGGTGCAGCGAGGTAAATCTAGCCATGTATCAATCAGAGGCCAGGCTAACCTTCTTGTTCCAATAAGGACAATAACTTAGGTGCACCATTTCTTATTGGAACCCTCCGTGAAGTCCTGCCGGAAATACTCCTTGATGTAAAGCCACCCCCTTTGTTGATTTTAGCTCCCTGAAGCCAACCCTGTAAGCGCCCCTCCCAGCGTCAGAGCAATGGCAAACAATCGGGCATCTGAGAGTGCTGTCCAGAGCAGTCACAATGGAGCACTCTGATGGGGCTAAAACATTGTCGCGGGTGCTTCTGGGTACGTGTCGTCAGGCCCCCGCTCCCTCCCTCCCCCCGTGAAAGCAAGGGCAGACAATCATTTTGCGCCTTTTTTCCTGAGTTACCTGTGCAGACGCCATACCACAGCAAGCATGGAGCCCACTCAGGTAACCGTCACCCTATGTCTCCTGGGTGCTGGCAGACGCGGTACGGCTTTGCTGCACAGTAGCAGCAACCCATTGCCTTCTGGCAGCAGACGGTGCAATACGATTGGTAGTCGTCCTCGTCATGTCCGAGGTGCTCCTGGCCACGTCGGCTGGGAGCGCCTGGGCAGACATGGGCGCAGGGACTACATTTGGAGTGACTTGAGCAGGTCATTCTCTTTAGTCCTGCAGTCAGTCCTATTGAACCGTCTTATGGTGAGCGGGCAGGCGATATGGACTGCTAGCAGTCGTACTGTACCATCTTCTGCCAAGCAGGCAAGAGATGAGGATTGCTAGCAGTCGTATTGTACCATCTTATGCCAGGCAGGCAAGAGATGAAGATGGCTAGCAGTCGTACTGTACCAACTTCTGCCGAGCAGCCATGAGATGTGGATGGCATGCAGTCCTTCTGCACCGTCTGCTGCCAGCCAAAGATGTAAAAGATAGATGGAGTGGGTCAGAACAAGAAATAGACCAGATTTGTTTTGTACTCATTTGCCTCCTCCCCTGTCTAGATCACACTGCAGTCACTCACAGAGAAGGTGCAGCGAGGTAAATCTAGCCATGTATCAATCAGAGGCCAGGCTAACCTCCTTGTTCCAATAACAACGATAACTTAGGTGCACCATTTCTTATTGGAACCCTCCGTGCAGTCCTGCCTGAAATACTCCTTGATGTAAAGCCACCCCCTTTGTTGATTTTAGCTCCCTGAAGCCAACCCTGTAAGCCGTGTCGTCAGTCGCCCCTCCCTCCGTCAGAGCAACGGCAGACAATCGTTCCGCGCCTTTTTTCTGTGCGGACGCCATACCAAGGCAAGCATGGAGGCCGCTCAGCTCACTTTGGCAATTAGGAGCACATTAACCACCACACGCATTATCCAGCAGTATATGCAGCACCAGAACATGGCAACGCGATACCGGGCGAGGAGGCGACGTCAGCGCGGTCCCGTGAGTGATCAGGACATGGACACAGATTTCTCTGAAAGCATGGGCCCTGACAATGCATGCATCATGGTGCTAATGGGGCAGGTTCATGCTGTGGAACGCCGATTCTGGGCTCGGGAAACAAGCACAGACTGGTGGGACCGCATAGTGTTGCAGGTCTGGGACGATTCCCGGTGGTTGCGAAACTTTCGCATGCGTAGGGGCACTTTCATGGATCTTTGTGACTTGCTTTCCCCTGCCCTGAAGCGCATGAATACCAAGATGAGAGCAGCCCTCACAGTTGAGAAGCGAGTGGCGATAGCCCTGTGGAAGCTTGCAACGCCAGACAGCTACCGGTCAGTTGGGAATCAATTTGGAGTGGGCAAATCTACTGTGGGGGCTGCTGTGATGCAAGTAGCCCATGCAATCAAAGATCTGCTGATATCAAGGGTAGTGACCCTGGGAAATGTGCAGGTCATAGTGGATGGCTTTGCTGCAATGGGATTCCCTAACTGTGGTGGGGCTATAGACGGAACCCATATCCCTATCTTGGCACCGGAGCACCAAGCCGCTGAGTACATAAACCGCAAGGGGTACTTTTCGATAGTGCTGCAAGCTCTGGTGGATCACAAGGGATGTTTCACCAACATCAACGTGGGATGGCCAGGAAAGGTGCATGATGCTCGCATCTTCAGGAACTCTGGTCTGTTTCAAAAGCTGCAGGAAGGGACTTTATTCCCAGACCAGAAAATAACTGTTGGGGATGTTGAAATGCCTATATGTATCCTTGGGGACCCAGCCTACCCCTTAATGCCATGGCTCATGAAGCCGTACACAGGCAGCCTGGACAGTAGTCAGGAGCTGTTCAACTACAGGCTGAGCAAGTGCAGAATGGTGGTAGAATGTGCATTTGGACGTTTAAAGGTGCGCTGGCGCAGTTTACTGACTCGCTTAGACCTCAGCGAAACCAATATTCCCACTGTTATTACTGCTTGCTGTGTGCTCCACAATATCTGTGAGAGTAAGGGGGAGACGTTTATGGCGGGGTGGGAGGTTGAGGCAAATCGCCTGGCTGCTGGTTACGCGCAGCCAGACACCAGGGCGGTTAGAAGAGCACAGGAGGGCGCAGTACTCATCAGAGAAGCTTTGAAAACCAGTTTCATGACTGGCCAGGCTACGGTGTGAAAGTTCTGTTTGTTTCTCCTTGATGAAACCCCCCGCCCCTTGGTTCACTCTACTTCCCTGTAAGCTAACCACCCTCCCCTCCTCCCTTTAATCATTGCTTGCAGAGGAAATAAAGTCATTGCTGCTTCACAGTCATGCATTCGTTATTCATTCATCACACAAATAGGGGGATGACTACCAAGGTAGCCCAGGAGGGGTGGTGGAGGAGGGAAGGAAAATACCACACAGCACTTTAAGCACAGCACTTTAAAAGTTTACAACTTTAAAATTTATTGAATGACAGCCTTCTTTTTTTGGGCAATCCTCTGTGGTGGAGTGGCTGGTTGGCCGGAGGCCCCCCCACCGCGTTCTTGGGCGTCTGGGTGTGGAGGCTATGGAACTTGGGGAGGAGGGCGGTTGGTTACAGAGGGGCAGCAGTGGCAGTCTGTGCTCCAGCTGCCTTTGCTGCAGCTCAACCATACACTGGAGCATACTGGTTTGGTCCTGCAGCAGCCTCAGCATTGAATCCTGCCTCCTCTCATCACGCTGCCGCCACCTTTGAGCTTCAGCCCTGTCTTCAGCCCGCCACTTACTCTCTTCAGCCCGCCACTTACTCTCTTCAGCCCTCCACCTCTCCTCCCGGTCATTTTGTGCTTTCCTGCACTCTGACATTATTTGCCTCCACGCATTCATCTGTGCTCTGTCAGTGTGGGAGGACAGCATGAGCTCGGAGAACATTTCATCGCGAGTGCGTTTTTTTTTCTTTCTAAGCTTCACTAGCCTCTGGGAAGGAGAAGATCCTGTGATCATTGAAACACATGCAGCTGGTGGAGAAAAAAAAAGGGACAGCGGTATTTAAAAAGACACATTTTATAAAACAGTCGCTACACTCTTTCAGGGTAAACCTTGCTGTTAACATTACATACATAGCATATGTGCTTTCGTTACAAGGTCTCATTATGCCTCCTCCCACCGCGTGACTACCCCCTCAACCTTCTACCCTCCCTGTGGCTAACAGTGGGGAACATTTCTGTTTAGCCACAGGCAAACAGCCCAGCAGGAATGGGCTCCTCTGAGTGTCCCCTGAAGAAAAGCACTCTATTTCAACCAGGTGACCATGAATTATATCTCACTCTCCTGAGGATAACACAGAGAGATAAAGAACGGATTTTGGTTGAATGCCAGCAAACATACACTGCAATGCTTTGTTCTACAGTGATTCCCGAGTACGTGTTACTGGCCTGGAGTGGTAAAGTGTCCTACCATGAAGGACGCAATAAGGCTGCCCTCCCCAGAAACCTTTTGCAAAGGCTTTAGGACTACATCTAGGAGAACCGCAAATGCCAGGGCAAAGTAATCCTTTCACATGCTTGCTTTTAAACCATGTATAGCATTTTAAAAGGTACACTCACCAGAGGTCCCTTCTCCGCCTGCTGGGTCCAGGAGGCAGCCTTGGGTGGGTTCGGGGGGTACTGGCTCCAGGTCTAGGGTGAGAAACAGTTCCTGGCTGTCGGGAAAACCGGTTTCTCCACTTGCTTGCTGTGAGCTATCTACAACCTCCTCCTCATCATCATCTTCTTCGTCCCCAAAACCTACTTCCGTATTGCCTCCATCTCCATTGAAGGAGTCAAACAACACGGCTGGGGTAGTGGTGGCTGAACCCCCTAAAATGGCATGCAGCTCATCATAGAAGCGGCATGTTTGGGGCTCTGACCCAGAGCGGCTGTTCGCCTCTCTGGTTTTCTGGTAGGCTTGCCTCAGCTCCTTCAGTTTCACGCGGCACTGCTTCAGGTCCCTGTTATGGCCTCTGTCCTTCATGCCCTGGGAGATTTTCAGAAAGGTTTTGGCATTTCGAAAACTGGAACGGAGTTCTGATAGCACGGATTCCTCTCCCCAAACAGCGATCAGATCCCGTACCTCCTGTTCGGTCCATGCTGGAGCTCTTTTGCGATTCTGGGACTCCATCATGGTCACCTGTGCTGATGAGCTCTGCATGGTCACCTGCAGCTTGCCACGCTGGCCAAACAGGAAATGAGATTCAAAAGTTCGCGGTTCTTTTCCTGTCTACCTGGCCAGTGCATCTGAGTTGAGAGCGCTGTCCAGAGCAGTCAGAATGGAGCACTCTGGGATAGCTCCCGGAGGCCAATACCATCGAATTGTGTCCACAGTACCCCAAATTCGAGCTGGCAACGTCGATTTAAGCGCTAATCCACTTGTCAGGGGTGGAGTAAGGAAATCGATTTTAAGAGCCCTTTAAGTCGAAATAAAGGGCTTCATTGTGTGGACGGGTGCAGGTTTAAATCGATTTAACGCTGCTAAATTCGACCTAAAGTCCTAGTGTAGACCAGGGCTATGATAACAACCTTGCAGAACCTCTGTGTGTGTGTGTGTGTGTGTGTGTGTATGAATGAATGTGTGAATAAATATGAAATTGAATGGAATGTTATAGCTATAACTAACTGATTACTATGATTCTTTCTGTAGTCACAATAAATGTGGCGTTTTGCCTTTTCCCCTTTAATAAGATCCTGCTGGTTTGTATTTTATTGGTATAACATGACAACCATTTCATTGAGAAGTGTTAGTGCTTCCGTATTTTGGAGAAGGGACTTGAAACTAGGCAGGAGGTTGCCTTGCTGTCAAGGATTCCTCTTGCAACCCCCCCAAAAATTATCTACATTTGGCCAAATTATAATGCTCTGCAAAACTATAGTTTGCATATGCTCAGTAAAGCAGTAAAGACTTTCCCTGCAATTGCTCCTCCTGCAGATCGGGGTGCTGAGGTGCCAGCAGAGGAAGAGAAAATAGTGAGATCAGATGAGTGAGGAGCAGAATGAGAGGGTGAGAAGAAGGAGGAAGGGGAGGAAAGGATAGGATCCATTGTAAGGTCATCAGAGGGAGAATTAGACAGGAGTCAGGGCCTGTGGACAAAATAGCATGTGATCATGTAATTAAAAGACTGCAGCATAATGAATATGCATAAAAATGACAAATTAAGGCAAAGGCATCTTTAATGACGGCATTTCCTAACATCTTTTAACATATATTTTTGATATAACATACACATAGGTCATTCTAAGTATGGCATGGATGTATTTATCCATTTTATGACAGCAGATTTGATTACTCTTGGTTTGGATTTAAAAAATAGCCCCTAGGAGACCCATGCAAAGAGTCAAGATTGAAACAGAACTAACTGACATTTAAACAAACAGTGACTAAAAGATTAGGGACCTTACAGAGAGAGAGAGAGGTTTAAGATAAATGTAGGACTTAAAGACATTCACCACTCACTTGCATTGATTTTACACCCGTTTGACTCCACTGAAGTCCTGGGAGCCAGATCCTCCACTTCAGTGGTTCGCTGCTAGTTTAAAAACATTGAGACTCCAGTACATAATTCTAAGTGGAAGGTGTAAGAAACTTACCATCCTTTAGCAGATAACACTGAAGTAAGATGACAAAATTTAATGTTCTGGTTTTCAGAGAACTCTGAACTTCTGGATATTGGAATAGCACTGTTATTTTAAACCAACAAAATACCTTGGGTACTGAAATAGTGGGAGACAAGATAAATCTAAGATAAATCAGCTAGAAGTTGGAGGCATAATTAGTAATGGATAACGCTGATATTCCAGAAAGGCAAAAAAATAAAAAAATAAAAAAAATAAATATGGAGGCTGTCATGACACATAGGGTTTGGATAGAAGTTTGGGTGAATGAATGGATTTTGATTCTTGGACATCACTAAAAGCCCCAAGAATGGCAATTAATGACAGTAGAATGGGAATTTAAAAAAAATATACGAGAGAGACCTGTTGAAAAAGAACTCTCTGATCATTTTAATTATGTGTAAATACAGAAAGTCAGTTTCACTCTGGTGGCCAAAAATCAAAGCCACACACATCACAGCAATGATATTAAATTTCGATTTTTTTACACGACAGCACATATCTTTATAGGAAAGCATACAAGTAGGTGGAATTTTGTACTTGGCTCTCATACACGTTCAAAATAGAATGACAGAAAAGAAACAAAATCAAAATACTTTTGAGCTTTCCTAATATGTGTGAGACATGTCAGACATTTAGATACCTAGTATTGTGTTACTGCAGGATTAAACATACTTTAATGATATAATAAAGAATCAGGTCCGACAATTCTTTTACTTCAGTCATTTATTATTTTTACCCAGCAAATTGCTTTCAATTTCAAGTGGTCTTCTCTGAAAAAAATACACAGAAACATGTTTTTGTTACAGTTTACACACACATCCACACACATACCTCTTTTCTCTCAGAATGACATAGTCACTCTGAGGTTCCTTATGGGTAGTGTGACAGATCATCCAGTGTTAATCTCACAGGAAGTCATAGTTGCTATAGAGCAGAATTAGAGTTACTAGAGAGCTATGTCTACAATTGGAGTCAGGGGTGTGATGCCCAGCTCATGTAAACACACTTATGCTAGCTGCCATTGAGCTGGAAGCTAAAATAGTAGTGTAGCCACAGTAGCACAGGCAGTGATGAGTGACAGCAAGGGTTAGCCGCCATGAGGATGCACCCTCAGGGTCCAGGTGGTTTATATTCATATCAGCTAGTACTTGACTCAGCTTGCTGCTGCCTGTGCTACTGCAGATATACTATTTTTAGAACGCTAGCTCGATGACAGCTAGTGCAAGCATATCTGTAGGACTGGCTCCAAGTGTAGACGTGGCCTCAGATGTAAGGGAGATAGGAAGTTCAGGTTAACACAGCCAGTCGGAGCAACTGACATGCAGGAGCAGGGTTGTTAGGCCAGAACAAGGAGCACACAGCCCTTGGAGGGGGATGCTTACTTGGAAATGAGCTTAAGTCTGGGGTGAGGAAAAATGTTGTCTGTATGTATAATCCAGGCTATCAGCTCTTTGCCTGCTCTAATGCCTAATACATGTATTTTGGATTATGAATCTGCTACTGCCTTTTAGCTAATGGAAATGCTCTTTTAGGTCAAACCGTAGATGCTCATAGTTTTAGTTCCAAAAATTTCAGGTTCAGTCCCTTCAGATGAACCAACTGGAAGCATTGTGGCATATACATTTTCCAGAACAGTTAAACCTAGGTGAGCTAAACAGGAACCAAACTTGTTTGTTCAGAGCAACAGTTGGCTTGAGGATGCATTCAAAGGTGACAGTGAGAATCCTTTGTGTAAAATCTTTGTTGGGAATGCTTGATATTATAAAGAGCAGGCTAATGCCTTAAACATCAAGAGGATCACAGGCTATTAACTGAGAGGATATGAAGCACTTAGAGAAGGAGAAAAAGATACTGACCTGAAACACCTGGGATGTGTCTAGCAATGCTGCCTGCCAATGGTGCAGAGAGAAGAATAGGATGAACTTGCTGGGGTATTACCCAGGGTACAATCTGGACCAATGAACAGCTGTGTCCCCTCAGTTCTCCAACCTGGGGTGCCTTTTACACCACATTGCTGTGAGAGCAACCACTTCTGGTCTGCTCACACACATCCTTCAGCATGTAGGTTACTTTCAGTTATATTGTATGAGTCCTATAGTCAGCCACTCTTGAATACCATGGCAGAGCAACATCAGCAAGTTCCCAGTCCCAGAATTTCCCCAGAAATGTAAATCTTGTACTGCCCCCTGGACAATTCAAGCTCTCTCATGGACAATTCAAGCTTATATAAAGTCAGTCACTTTATTATAAATATTTTATATAAATTCCTGTTATCCCAAATGCAGTTTCCCAAACACGTCAATCCAAACACATTGGTAAAACAAAAAAACAAATTTAGTAACTACAAGATAGATTTTAAGTCACTACAATAATGAGGCATACAAGGCAAAATTAGTTACAAGAAAATAAAAGCAAAACAAAATGAATCCCTAATTTAACAAGCTAAATGAATTCAAAGCAAAGGTCTCTCACACCACATGTTTCAGCAATCTTACTAGCTTAATTTTTTTCAGTCACGATCCCTCTCCAAATCCAATGCTGCTTCCTTTGTTTTTCAAGTATCGTCAATGCCATGGTAGAGAGAAAGGAAAAGATCATTTGGGGCCTTTGCTCTCCCTTCTGATAGTTCTTTCTCTTCTTTGCGAATCATCTCCAGCTGAGGTTCAGGAGACAAAGTCACTGTGGATGGGAACCCCAAGCTGTTTCTTTGTCAAGATGTAGATTTTTTGCTCATACCTTCTTTCTTGCAAATAATTGCCACTTTTAACCAGATGATGGTCCGTTTGATTTTGTTTACACCTGGCTGAGGCATCACATCGCCTTTTGACTCTGGGGAACTTTGTGACTCACTCCCAGATTTGGAACATGTCTTTGCAATATTATGCAGTAGAATCTTATAACTTTAAACACAATGAAGCCACACATTTTACCAGGACAATAATGGTCAGCAAATTATGACTTCTCAAATGATACCTCACAAGGCATATTTTGTGTGAAATTTATCATAGTCCTGTAAAATGGGTGAACATAGGGGTACAACCTGTCACACTTGTGGAAAGAGAATGCACTCTGCAGACATGTAAGACCATGTTTCTTTGCTGTACTTTCCCCAAACTGCACCTGTCCAGTATAGTTGTTGTAATGTAAGACTAGACTTTATAAGCATAATTTCATTGCTTTTAATTGGATTTGCTTGCTCCAGGCTTTATAAACCCTATTAATTTGAGTCCATATTTTTTAAGTCACATCAATGAGTCCTTGAAGAGGAGACAAACTTCTGACCTCTTGTCAGGAGCAGTCAGGAGAAAATGGTACCCCAACTTGAAGTTGACACAGCCCGTTCACGGGTGCTATCTAGAGACTGGTTGTAGTTTCTTGGTGGCATGGAGCAAGCCAGTGAATCAAGCCAGTGAATCAAGAAGAGTGGCAGGAATAGAGGACCTAATGAAAGCCTATGGGAAATAGGGAAATCATTTGGGATTCATTATCACTTGGGAAATCATTAAAAAAATATAAAGAGAGAAAAAAAGGGAAAACCTTTGTAATTTTCTTATTATCTTTTTGGAGTAAGATTAAGGCGAGGACAGATGAGTGATGAGGCATTAAAGAAAGAGTAGCTCAGAGACCTAAACAAAGAGAAATCAGATATAAGCATTTTAGTAAAAGGCAGCCATAAGAAACACTGTCGGGTGGTGCCAGTAAAGAGTCCGTATTCAGAGACTACAGAGAGAAATGGTGATGTTGACCAGAAGAGAGGGTCAAATGGATGCAAAGAAATACAAGGAGGAAGGCACTATCTGGAAGGAAACAATGATGCATATTGTCTACAATGGTTGGAGGAGCAGCTGGAGACCATCCAGGAAAAACTTGTGGGCAACTGGAACTTGGAG